GAGCACCACCAAAAATTGATCCACTTATGCACATTGGTAATCCCAGCTGTAATGCCTCGAAATATTTCACAATAACCTAAAAGAAAATGACTAAAAATAATTTATCTAGGATTTGTCATACTTAAATATTTATAAAGCATTAAATGATAATACTATAAAAATAACAGTAATTTTTTCGAAAAGAATAAAAAAATTTGAAATTCTACACCATCTCCTATGAATTTCCTCTTTCATCATATTAATTAGTCACAAAAATGGATAAAAATAAATGCCACAACCAAATGATCAAAGTTTATCCTCTTGAAGACCCATTTCTTACGTTAATTTAATGAAATTTAAATTAAACAAAAATCAAAAAAAAAAAATCTTTTTTTAAAAAAACGAAAATATTAAGAATGAAAAATTGAAAAATTCTGAAATGCAAAGCTTGAATTAAGTTTTCAGACAACCAAAATGTTGCATAATTAAGATTTTCAATCAGATTAGCATCCCGTCTAGACAATGCATTGTGGAAAGAATTATCATATCGTATGATAGACTAAAAACTAATTTTGAGCAAGAATAAAGAAATTAATTCGATGAAGTTCACAGAATGCAAATTTAAAAAAAAAAAAAAAAAATAATAGGACGAAAAAATATATCTCGAAATTTGCTCAACAATATGAGATGTACATATATGATTTACTTTTTATGCTTATAAAAGTATATATTTATTCTATCTGCTTCGCCCATTGTTTTCCTGAACATACTATAAAAATTTAAATAAAAGAAATTTTAGCTTCAAGGATAAAATACGTTATTTTCGATCTCATTTCTACGAATTTTTTTTCGTTCCAATATCAAATACCTCTTACAAATCTCTTTTCAATGACAAAATACTATAATAATAAAAAGATAATAAAAAAATAAAATAAAAAATAAATAATAATATAATAAAGATAAATAATAAAAAAATAATATAAAAAAAACAAATAATAAAAAAAAATAATATAGATAATAAAAATGAAATAAAAAATAATAAAAAAAAATAAAATATAAAGAAATAAATAATTTATAGACAAACTAGAGTTTATAGTCAAACTTTATCCTCAAGTGACTCTATGATGAAAGGGTCAGATACACTTGATACGGTGTCAGCGTCTTCCGACGCGCATGATACTCCGAGCCCGATGGTACATGCGATAAGCATACAATCCGAGCTTAAAGCGATCCCAAGGCTGATAAATAAAATGTGATCGCAAGCCAGGGTAATTGCTAGAAACCTACCAAGAGGAACAGCCCTCTGTACGTTCGGCGAGGTATTAGCGGTATCAGCGTGGAACGTCTTATGGACGTTGCAAGCCAAGCGATCACTATCCACACCCTGTCTAAATATCGTGTGGATATCGCTTGCTTGTCGGAGGTCCGTCTTCCTCATTTTAGGTCTCGAGCAATTATTAATCCTGGTTCAGAGCAGAGATACTGGCTATATCACTGTGGTGCTTCGAATAACTCAGAACGAAATGGCGTAGCGATTGTCATGTCTGTGGACCATTCCACTTTGATTGAGTGGAAACCGGTAAACAACCGTATGGCCTATGCCTGTTTTAAGGGTAAGTTCTGCAATATTACGGTAATCAGGGCTCCAACTGTCTGTGCTCCAACTCTGTCGGCAGATAACCGTGATAAAGATAAGTTCTATGCGGAACTTCAACTGTTAACAAAGTCTCTACCGAAATATAACATGATCATAATCGGGGAAGGCTGGAATGCTCGCGTAGGTCATAATGCAGCTGCGATGACCTCAAAAATTGGCAAATATGGCATCGGAGAGCGGTGTACCAATGAAGAACATCTTCTTCGTTATGCCGAAGAGCATGAACTTTTTGTTACTAATACTTGCTTCCGGCATCGTAGAAAACACCTAGTCACGTGGAACTCCCAACACTTCAACCAGATTTATTATATCTTAGTCAGTCGCCGTTGGAACAGTTCCGTACTAGATAGTCGTTCCTATCGCGGAGCTGAAACGGATAATCTTCATGGATCTGACCATGTTATGGTTCGAGCCAAGATTCGCATAAAATTGACAACTCGCAGAAAACATCCCCAAGTTCCTTCATCTATCTCAAATTAAAAAATTCGGAGACAGTGAGCGCATTTCAAACCGAATTATTGAAGCATTTCAATGATACAAATATCAATGATTTCTCTGGAACGGCAAATGAATACTGGTCAAAACTAAAAGAATGTCTCCGGAAATCAGCCACTTCCATGCTAGGGCATTCTGGTAGAATGTGCGCTAGTTGGGTATGGGAAGCAACTGTCCAATTGTCTGAAAAAGCTGCCAAAGCACGAATGTTAGGTAATCCTGACTACCGGGTGCTTCGAAGATTTGCAACGAAAGCAGCAAAGTGGGATAGAAATCACTATTGGAGTGAAATGGCCTCAAGAATGGAGGTGACAATAGGCGACTGTAGGACTATTCTATCTTCTTCATAAAGCAACTATGACTTGGGAAAAGATCAATGAAAAGGCAAGAGGCAACAATGGCTGATAATACTGACAATACTGATCAAAAGTATTAAGGATCGCCTCATAAGATGGAAAGAATTGAGGCTAAACTTATGGAAGTACGGGATAGCAGGATGCGCCCTAATCAAGCTGGTTTCAGACCAAGGCGCGGTTGTGCTGACCAGATATTCACGTTAAGAAAAGTGTTGGAACATCGCTTCAGATATTTGCAACCCACTGTCACGTGTTTCATCGAGTCATTTTGCGGCTGCCTTTGATTCAATTGATAGAATAGCGCTTTGGAGGGTGATGGAGGGTGACGGTGTTCCAGAGAAAATCATTAGATTTATAAAGGCATTTTATGAGCATACGTCGACACAGGTCGATCTCTGTATATAAGGAGCTGACAGATTCCTTCGAAATAAGAACAGGTGTCCGTAAGGGCTGCGTCCTTTCCCCCACAATATTCAATTATGCGATAGACTGGATAATGGATACCACTTGTCTGCACTCAAGAGATGTCCAAATTAGTCCAGAGCATCGTATCACAGATCTTTAATACGCTAATGATGTGGTCCTTTTCGCTGACGAAATGCAAGTAATATAATATTAAATAACGTGTCAGAAACTGTAGCAAGAATCGGATTCAGGATAAATATAAATAAAACGAAAGTCTTTTCATCTTATGTGCTATAAGCTTATAAAATGCCTCTTTTTGTAAATTCATTGCCGGTTAAGGAAGTTGATATTACAATTCGGATCGCAGCAGCTAGAAATGCATTCTTCCGGTTGACGAAACCTTTATGGAGACATCGTGAAATTACCATAAAAACGAAAGTCCGTACCTATATAGCCGTGATTCGTTCGATCTTGCTATATGGCTTTCAGACATGGCCGATGAGAGTGGAGGATATTAAGAATCTTACCTATCTTTGACCACTCTTGTCTAAGTATATTTTACGGGTCCGTTGAGCGGATAAGATATCACATGATCGCATCCGTTCAAATACCACTTGCTATATACAAATACCACTTGCTATATAAATACTATAATGTTATCACAGAGCGTAGCGTCGCCTTCGCTGGTTAGGGCACATTCGCCGTCGTCCACCACAGAAGTTGACGCATATTTCGTTATCTGATAAACTGTGTGATGGTTGGCATCAAAAGCGAGGTGGGCCAGCTAAGACCTGGACTGACACAGTCAGAAAAGATTTTGAACGTATAGATGGACCAGCAATACATGGACTTAGACAATGGAAAAAGGAATTCATTGCTTCCATTACTGTCGACGATCAGACTGTGCCGCTTGGAAGCGTCTTATCCTTGTAACCGTTGGAGCCAGGCTAACTAGTAATGGCTTCCATTACTGTCGACGATATTATCAGACTGTGCCGCTTGGAAGCGTCTCATCCTTGTAACCGTTGGAGCTGTTAGAAGAAGAAGAAGCAGTCAAACTCGACTATCAACCACTCTTTCAAAAATTTGAACACCCGAACATAGAAATTTTCAAAATTTTTTCTTAAGATTTTGAAGAAAATTTTTTGGCTTATGGAAATTTTTTTTCTTTCCAAATTACCTTTTGAATTACTAAATTTTTATTGTTTTTAAGCTGAAAAATTTTCCAATAATTTTTTCAGACAAAAATTGGCAAAGAAAATTAATGGAAAATGCATAACTTATATAATTTTGAAAAGCGTGAGCCATCCTTTTTTCATGTCCTTCATCCTTAGCTAATTAAATAAAATTATAAAAATAAAATCTCCACCAAAAAATCTCAAATTACGTAATTTTTTATCTAACTCATTTTAGAACGAATAAAAATCCAAAAAAAAAATTCTGGACAGAAGGTGTAGGTATTAATTATACATCAAAATTGGAAATAAGCAATTTAAAAAAAAAAGATGATTATTATCAACAAAGGAATTGTGAGTGATTAACTAATTAACAAAAAAGAATCAACAAAACTTTAACGCCGATTAATTCAGATTCAACCGCTTAATTTTGAAAAAATGAAATAAAATTAATTCTCAGATTTTTTAAAAATTTTTTTTAATAATGCCAAACTTTTCAATTAAAAGAAAAGGCAGTTTGATAAAAAAAAATGAAGTAATAAAAACAAAGGTCTTGCGATTATTAAGCAACCATCCCAAAATTTTTCTAGGATGACCCATTTCCAATTTGATATGAAGGAAATCTAGGATTATATGGATCTTACTTCATGTCCATTGACATGATTTGTAAGCTACGATTTTCCAGCAGAGCAAGTTGTCTTTTTAGCTAAATGACCATTACCATTCAGGTTATCAATAAAATCTACATAACTCCCTAGCAGAAATTTCCAATCGTACTGATACCAATTGCAGTTTAATCAGAAATATTATTTATTATAATATTATTTACACTTCATAATCTTTTTCATACCATATTCGACAAAATCTACCAAATCTACCAAAAATGAAAAGGATATCCATGTATAAACGTCAAAAGACAAGTAAACAACTTGGTTAAAAAAAAATTAAAAAACTTGATCGAAAAAAGACAACTTGATTAAAAATGATTAAAATTTGAATAAAAAAATTCACCTCGCCTAGCATATTTGTTTTCATTTGTAATAAAATATGAATGAAATCATGAGTTTCACGGTACCGTTGCATGATATAGACCAAATCATCAACATCATCGATAAACTGCAAAAAAAAAAAATCCAGCTCTAAAAAATGCCTGTTAGATTAAATAGAATAAAATAATTTTAAAACCACTCATAGAAGCCTTTCCAGACATTTTTCTGAGAATACTTTAAAAAAATAAGGTTTATAACTTTTTAAGGTAAAAAAACGAATATGACCAAAATTAAAAGAAAAATGAGAATCAAACTTTCTAAATTTTGAAAAAATATAAATAATGGCATGCATACTTTTACGGAAGGACGAGCATCTGGTTCTGTATTAAGATCAGCAAGGAATTTCTCATACTCATTGCCAAAAGTACCAAGTTTCAATGAACGTAGATAATCTCGATCAATTGTTTCGTTAGTGATTCGAGGTCGCGTCCTAAATTCAAAATTTGTTGAAAAATCGAGAAATATTTTTCCCTTTTTAATTCAAAATTCAAATTTAATAAACTTATTAAAATTTCTAGTTTTTCTTACTGCAAAAGCTTTCTTCCAATGGCATCATTCATCATTCTTTGGCGAATATTCTCGAGAATAAATCGAAATGCAGTTGTTTCACCCATTGTAGCAACCATATCTAAGAAATGAATTAAGAACGATTTGAGTTATAAGATTTTTGCAATGAATTATAAAAAGAATAAATAAAACTGTAAAGGCTAAAAAACTGATGAGATGCATTCTAAAAACTCAATAAGATAATTCTACTGCAATGAATAGACAATTAAAAGAATAGACAATTCTCGATAATATTTTCAAATTCATTGTTCGAGCAATTCACTATCTATCACTACTTCTCTACAAATTATTTTTTAAATAATGAAATAATCGGGTCCTATAAAATTGATGTCTGAGTTACAAAAGGTTAAAGAATCCCGAAATCCAAAGAAATAGGTATAAATATTCCTGCTGAATAATATTCACTAATACAATATTATTTTTTTTTCGTTTTACGCATCATTTTCAAATTCTCCAAATTTCGTCAAACTTTCAGTTAAGCGAAAATCGAATATAGTGAAAATCATGAATGGATAGATTAGTAAAATTCAAATAGCTATTATTTTTTCCTTGAGAGCCCAATATTTTTTTGGGGATAGAATAGGTCAGTGGGTGTTATTGCTCGATTGGGAGCGCCGATGCTGTTCGATTTCTCGCAGGAATAAACCTGTACAAAAATCCGGGTGATGCTGGCGTATTGCTCAATGTGACAAGCCAGTGGAGAGAGTTTAACCCGTAATGGTGAGGCCTCTTAAAAAAAAAAAATATAATAAGGATAGAAAAACTTCTCAATATCTCAATGATCGAAAAAGATTAAAAAGGCGAAAGTAGTGCCTCCTCTAGCTGGATTAATAATTGCCGTTGCGGCTGACCCAAATGCCAAAAGAACTTTTTGAAAATATGTTGTTGGAATATGAGTTGGATATAATTTATTCATCTGAAAATAAAAAAAAAATTTGGAAGAAATTTGAAATCAAACTATGTGGTTTGCTTAAAATAAAACCAATAATAAATAAAACCAATGTTTTATTTATTATCGCTATTTTTAATAAATTGTTTCCAATGAAAATAATTTCAAGCAGAAGTAAAATTTAAATGAGAGCTGCTGCGGATTCGCCCATATCTCTTTTCCCAAATATTTTTCACTCCTCTAAACATTGAATCTTGTAAACATTGAATAATATAACCTCTATTATCCGCTGTAGATAAAATACCAGCAGTGGAACGTTTAACCGATTCACCTTTCTCCCGTAAAATCTCCTCGATATTTTTCTTGCCTTTTAAATCAGAAAACCAGCCAAGATTATCGGCAATTATATGATGGTTCTTGCAATTATCGCATGTAATAATAACGACACCTTTCTCATACGAATTTTTCGAAAAAATCTTTGGACCCTGGCAATAAAAACAAAAATTAATTTAAAAATTAATTGAAAATTAATTTAAAAGAAATCTAATCTAAATATATTAGTACAAAAAAAGGAAAAATTATGAAAGAACAGTAAAATACAGGAAAAATTCCGTATATCGCTAGCAGATGGAATGGCGCAGTGGGTTATTGCTCAATTGGTAGCGCCGAGGTTCCCCGTAGGAGTAAACCTGTCCAAAAATCTGGGTGATGCTGGCGACCTACCTGTAATTCTATCACCAAGGGACTCCCTGACATATTTGCTCAATGCGACAAGCCAGCGGAGCGATTCTAACCAGTAACAGGGAAGACTCTTTAAAAAAAATTCTCCCACTAAAAGAAAATATCTCCTCTATCTTTCCATTATTAGCGAATCGGATAACCGAAAGGCAATGAAATCGGGAAAAAATTAAAAAGAAAGAACAATCGACAGCCAAAAATGATAGAAAAAATATAAAATAAAATAAAGCCAAAGAAAAATTATATAAATTTTTATAAATTAAATTGTTCTTTAAAATTATTTATAAACTAAATTTCACATCGAAATTTTACATCAAATTTATTTCAATTGAATTGAATTTATTTTATTTTTTCAAAAACTTTAAAATTTTCATTTCAAAAATTAAAAATCCTTGAAAATTTTTGAAAAAAAATTTTTAAATTCTAATAGAAAAAAGAAACAAACTTGTCGAGTATTGCAAACTTTACAAGTGTAGGTAATTGATAATTGTGAAGAGAGATCACCAACTGTTGAATATAAACAACGATTATCAATCAAACGATAAAAGAAACATCGGTTAAAGCTGGACAAAAAATGCGCAAGTACCATAAATTTTTGAACGCAAATCCACTAATTTGCAGATTTCGCGGTCGCAGCTCGTTAGCTTATAGAATTGAAATAGGCGAGCTTTGGAGGTGTATATTCACATTTGGCATATTCGAAACGACGTTTTCTGGCCAAAAGCGGCCAAAGCAATATTCCCAAGATGTTTCCTAACATTGGCTGAATTGATTAAAGCATAGCATGGAACTGAAAAAGAAGTTTGAGAGATTAAAACAAACAACCTTGGACTCCGAAAAACGGACGACTTGTGGAGAGAGTGGCGGTGCAGATTGAAATTAAATATGGACGTTGTCATATTTTGGAATATTGTTGGAACCGAGGACCATTAAATTTTATAGAACACTATCAAACTGAGGTGGGAAAGCCTATAACATTAACAGTGATTTGAGCCAATATCACGAGGTACATGGTAGCACTTGAAGATACAAAGCACCGATTTCATTCTGGACCAATTTTTTGATATTGGTTCTTCTATTACAATACGTTTGATGCGAACCAATCTAGCACGCTCTAGAAACTTGTCTTGTGGCTCATTGCTTCGATCGAAGTCAAGTACCAGAGTAAACTAGCGGTTTGAAATTCAGTTCATTCTTGGCACCTATACCCGCATGTGACTATCCATGCTGATAATTCGGCATACTAATGGAGCGAACCTAACCAGAAATGGTAAGTAACAACCATTAAATAACAAACTGTGCTGATTTAATTAATTATTTATAAAATTATATTAAAAAATTTATTATATTAATTAAATATTATTAAATATTAAATATTATTTCTTATTTTTAATAAATTTGCATATTGCAAAAGCATTTTTTTGGATGAAATTCATAAATTCATTTTAAATTATTTCTAACAAATGGAATCACTCGGTCGATTTGCTGAAACAGTTGCAACGATTGCAGCAAAAAAGAAACCATCGTTATCAGTCGATCATCACAGTTTCGATGCCAGTTCTGAAACTTCAATAAAGTTGGTTTAGGGTGTATACAACAGAATATCTGACCCTTTCAATAGAGTCATTTGGGGTCCTCAGGAACCACTCGGTTTTTCGACATGACAGGCTTAGGTTTACTCATATCAAACACAGACATAATTATTGCGTAATATTATTGTAAATTTTATGTATGTATATATATATATTTTATTTCAATTCTTTATTTTTTTAAGTTTAGAAAAAAAACATAGCTCATAGTTTATAGAAATTCTAAAAATATTCCGAAAAAAAGCAAAAAAGCAAAAGCTTAAAAAAATGATAGCGGAATAGAAATACAACCATTAAAAATTGAAAAATTTTTGAAAATCGTTAAAACTTTGCGGCTGCCTTGGATTCAGTTGATAGAGCGGCGCTTTGGAAGGTGATGAAACGCGACGGTGTTCCAGAGGAGATCATTCGACTCATAAAGGTATTTTATGAGCGTACGTCTACGCAGGTTTGTGTATGGGAAAATGAGAATCCTTTGTTCGTTAAGATTGTGTCCTCCTTATAAAATTCAATTATGCGATAGACTGGATAATGAACACAGCTTGTCAGCATTCAAGAGTTCAGTCCAGAGTATCGTATTATAGATCTTCAATATGCTGATTATGTAGTCTTTTTTGCTGACAGTTATGACGAAATGCAAATAATACTAAATAACGTGTCAGAAATTGAAGCAAGAATCGGACTCAG